TGGAAACTTTCAATGAATTCTGCCCAAGTTCTCCACTGCTTATTGTTGGCGATGAACCATTTCAAAGCCCTTCCTTTTAGCAACTCTGGCATCGCTCGAGGGATCATATCGAGCTCCAAACCGTACGTGTTGGCGGACCATTCTACTTGCTCCAGGAACTCGAATGGTTTTTCCGCCCCGTCGAACCTGAACGACCATTCGCGGACCTGCTTAGCGACCTTTGCATAGTCCGACTGGCTTGGTCTCGGGATCGGCGCTGCTGCTTTCTTTTCTTGGCTTGATTCTCTCCTGTGGGCCTCTTTCTGTATGTTGTCAACGCTCAGGCTTGCCACCAGGTTGTCCCCTTCAGCGTTCGTTAACGTAATGCTTGGGCCGGCTCTGTCGTAGTATGTCGCCTCTAGCTCGGCCCAGATGTCGACGAGTTGTGGATCGTTCTCTGTTTCGGAGTAGTATTCCGATAGTGCCTTCCTCATGTCGTCTAGCCTGCCCTCCAGGGCGACGTTGAGCCTCTGTGCGACATGGGCGAAGTCTTCCTTCTTGAGGCGGTAAATCCACTTCTTTCCCATTTTTACTGTGCTGTTCTCACTGTTGGGACAATCACGTTGGGCGCCAGATGTAACGAACTGATTGTTGTATGTCTGCTCGCTACGAGATTCGTGCGGCTAGCTCAGAAGATTGTGTGTTCGTCCCACCAAATTTATATGACGTGATTGCCCGTAGATCAGTGAGAAAACAAAGTGTTCAAATGGTAACAGTGGGATTTATTCTCGTGGTATTGGTACAGCGGGTGTGTGGCTATGCTGGTTTCTGTGTCTCCTTGTTCTGGTTCCGCCGGCTGCTGGTGCTCCTCCTTCTGGCTTCTCGACGCGTTGACTCGTCCTCCTCTGGATCCTGGGTCTCGGGACGCTCGTGGTGGCCGCCTCTGCTTGCTTGCCGACGCGTTGCCTCGGGGTCGCTTGTCGCGCCTTAGACCCGCAGAGAATTCGGCCTTGTGGGCTTAGGGAAGCGTCACCGTTCTCAGACTAGGGTGAACAAGCTGTGCTCTCCAGGCTGACGCCTTTCGAGGCAATACCTGTCCCTTGCTCTGTCCCGGACGGTCCCGCTAGGTTCTTGCTCAGTTCGCGCTGACAGTCAAGACTGCCTAGCGGTTCACTTCGCTTTACGCCTAGCGCAGACGAACGTTCCACCCGGCTTCACCCTAATGCGTGACGTCCGCGACGCTCCTGCGCTCCCCAATGAGCTCCGCGCGGCGATGGTAACGTGGCTGCCGGAAATCTCTGCTGGCGTCGCTGTCGATGTCCTCTGCGCTGTCTTCTGGCTAGTATCTCGTTGTTCTGGCGCTCGGGGAGCTGTGCGGTCGCTGCTCGGGAACTTCGCCGGTAATCGCAGGGCTCTCCAGGCTGACGCCTTTCGAAACCACAAATCGATCTACCGCTCGTCCGTCACGCCAGGTCCTGCTTGGTCGGGCAAGGTACGCTGGGTCGCAGACAACTTTCCTCCCCAAGCTGACGGCTCTTCGTCGTAGGACTCTTTTGCTTGTCTCTGACAGACCCGCCGGGCGACTCGCCAGGGTGTGGTCGTGACAAAGTTAGAAAACAAACGCCTTGACTTAGCCGCGTGATGCCTTTCAGAACTCAGCCACCTGTGTCTCAATTCGGAGATTCCTGATGTCCTAATCCCGAACGTCTCGACGTGGCGATCTTGCTCCTTCTATGCTTCCCACGGCGCTGCTTCCGACGACTCGCTTGGTTGTAGCTCCCTCGTAGATTACTTGCTTGACTGATTGCTCACTTGGTACTTTGACTGATCTTGAAGGCTTGACTCCTCTTGATCGACTGATCCAGCTGCCAGCGCTCTGCGGCCTTATATAGGGCCTCCAAGCACCGTTATTTCCCTTTCGCGCACGGCCCGCTGGATCTCTCCACTCTGGGTCCAAAGTCCGTGCCTCCTGGATGACCCACTTGTCCTTTATGTACCGCTTCCAATAGATGTTCCGCCCACTGCTGCCGTTCCGCTGATTCCCGTGCCGCTTGTGGCACGCCTGTGTGCCGCTCCACTGCCGAGATGTGGCACTTCCTCTCCCGGTCCAAAGTTCACGGGAGAGTCCAAAGTCCAGTGGAGTTCTGTTATCCTCTTCTGCATACGGCACTCTTGCTCTGCCCGCGAAGTCTCCATTCTCTCTCGATCTCCATCCTTGGTCTCCAATCTCTCTCGCTCTCCTTCATTGGTCTCCAAACTCTCTCGCTCTCCATCCTTGGTCTCCAATCTCTCTCGCTCTCCTTCATTGGTCTCCAAACTCTCTCGCTCTCCTTCGTTGGTCTCCAAACTCTCTCGATCTCCACCCTTGGTCTCCAAACTCTCTCGTTCTCCCCGCCGCGCCGTTACTACGCGAATTCGCCGCGTATCTGGTAAGCGGCCGGCCACCTGCTGCTGCTTCTATTTGTGGGGAGTTATTCAACTCCTCACACTATGCTTAAGCCTAGTACTCACATCGACGAAAACCGCGAGCTAGCTATAGGAGTGAGCGAGATGCAAACAGGCGGCTAACTCTTTTCGTCGGGTCTGTTTTTCAGCGGGGTTCTCAGATGAGCCAAGGAAATACGAGAAAAAATACCAGATTTAGCGAGTGAATTTCGATGAACGCCGTTAGCCGCGGCCCAAAGAATAAGAAATTTATGTCCGTCAAATTAGCGTCGGCGACTTAGCGGCGCTGGCGGAACGGTGGAATCTGGAACATGGGGCCAATTTTTATTTTTTGCTTTTCTCGGCTTTTTAGGGCCGAATCGAAAAATATTAAATTTAAAGTTGTTTAGGATAAAAATATCTATCGATCTAGACAGTTTGCAAACATATCCTAGATATTCTAGATATTTATTAAAAATCTATTTAAAAAATCGGGTCCCCACAATTTCGTTTATTGCTCCCCTCACAGACGTTGTACCATTATGCCCGGTAAACCTGGTTATTGGGCGTTAATTCAAGTTTCTTGTCAGAAAGTATCATTGAGCTAAAGCCGTCAGTTTTTGAGAAAATAGCTTAACAGTGAAGGCACCTCGGATTTTCCATGTTGTACCAACATGCACGGTATATTGGCAGATTGGGAATCGCCTAAAGCAAGTTCAGTGCAAAAATCATAACGATAAAGCCGTCAGTTTTTGAGAAAATTGCTTTACAGTGGGGGGAAGATAATAATTAAAAGAAGTGGCGCCAGATTAAAATTTGAACCAGTAAGTTCCAAGGCATGAACCACTATGTAAGAAAGGTATTCAGGACACTAACCATATGGCAAAAAATTATGTTTCGACGCTATCTCTATTTGTAATAATTTTGACTTTCACAGACGTTGTACCAACATGCACGGTACCTCGTTGGAAAGGACATTCATTTTACTAATTAACAAATGCGGTTCGGCGAACGAAAAGCCGTCAGTTTTTAAGAAAAAAGCATAATGCGTGGTTTGCATCTCATTTGTAACAAAATTCTTCACCCTGTTCTAAGCTTTCAAGACACTAATCATATGGGAAAAAAATAATGTTTCGACGCTATCTCTATTTTTAATAAATTTGACTTTCACAGACGTTGTACCAACATGCACGGTACCTCGTTGGAAAGGATATTCATTTTACTAATTAACAATTGCGGTTCGGCGAACGAAAAGCCGTCAGTTTTTGAAAAAAAAGCATAATGCGTGGTTTGCATCTCATTTGTAACAAAATTGTTCACCCTGTTCTAAGCTTCCAAGACACTAACCATATGGGAAAAAAATAATGTTTCGACGCTATCTCTATTTTTAATTAGTTTGACTTTCACAGACGTTGTACCAACATGCACGATACCTCGTTGGAAAGGAAATTCATTTTACTAATTAACAAATGCGGTTCGGCGAACGAAAAGCCGTCAGTTTTTGAGAAAAAAGCGTAGTGCGTTGTGGGCATCTCACTTGTTCCAAAATTGTAACTAAGAACACATGAACCTTATATCGATACCCTATATCGATACTTCGATAAAGGCAAGCTGAAAGTGTGGCATCACTCCCGATTCGCGGGAACTTTTATTTCCCAAGAAAATGTCGAGGGTGCTGCTGGTGAAGTGCGTAAGTAATTTATATGTATTAATTTAAACGAACTGTTAATAATTTTTTCTTCCCATTTTCAGAACGTAGACAAGTTCATCGTTGGAGATAATAGGAGGGGGGGGCTCCCCCCCCCCCCCCCCCCCCCCCCCCCCCCCCCCCCCCCCAAACGCAAACAACCAAAGGCCAAAAGGCCGCAGAAGCGCCGCAAGACTGCGAAGGCGGCAAATCAGGAGGCGGCTAGCCGGGAGGCGGCTAGCCTGGAGGCGGCTAGCCAGGAGGCGGCCGTCGATAAGGCTGATCTAAAAATTTATGAATAAATAAATACATATGAAGAAATAAAAACATCTAAAGTAAATGCGTCGAATTTTTATTTTTATACCCGTTACTCGTAGAGTAAAAGGGTATACTAGATTCATCGAAAAGTATGTAACAGGCAGAAGGAAGCGTTTTCGGCCCCATAAAGTATATATAATCTTGATCAGGATCACTAGCCAAGTCGATCTAGCCAGGATGAACGCTGAAATCTTGAACACTATAAGATCTAGGCTATTGGGATTTAGCATGCAGATTCCTGAGCTTCCCAGTCGTAAATGACAGCATTCCAGCACGCGTTCTTTCATTATGAAATGGCATCAAAAAGGTGTTTCGGAAGTGATGAGTCTGTCCATTCTTTTTACACGGGTGCGGGACAAAAAAGAATGCACCCGTTGCATGCTTCTGGAAGCATATATCTGGAATGCACCTGGAAGTAACAAACTAAACACATTCTGGGTGCACTCTTTTTTAATGCACCTGGAAGCAACATACTAACTCCTTCTGGGTGTACTCTTTTTTAATGCACCTGTAACATGTACCCAGGAATGCACCTAGAAGCATTCAAAAACCAAATATCTGGAAGTTTTCCCCAGGAATACATAAAACTGGATTTCAATTTCATATTTATTTTCATTTCAATATTCAAGAACGCAACTAATTTTTAATCGGAGTAACTCCCCTTCTGTACGGTGCTTTGGTGCTTCCTTCTTGTTTATGTACTTTTGTCATTTACGCAGTTCAGTCCTTGGTGTGCCCAATCATTTTTTGCGATTCTGAAAAATATAAAGCAAATTGAATATTATATATTTTGAAATATGTGTATATACATTACAAATATACAATATGTTTATTTTGTATGTACAATTTACATAAAAATAGTTATTATTTTATTTGTTTAATATATATTTAGTTTGAATGTTCAGTGTACATGTACTGTGTTATTTTATTGTGTTCATATTGAACTAAATTATCTACACTTTACTTACCTGTGAAAATATTGATGTAAAATTGGTGGCAGAAAGCAACAAACTTTTTCAAAGCACGTGGCACGAACTTCACTTTTCAGAACTAAAAATGCAACTGACGAGAAATGCAAGAGGCAAGAAAAACCGCTCGCTTCCTTGCATGTTCCCTTTTGTCTTTATTATTTGTTTGTCAAGAGAACAGTTTCGAAAAAAGACGATTGTAAAAAAATGGGCATCGGCAACCTTCGGGTTTGAGTTTGGTTTTTTTACATTCCCACTAAAATGCACCTGGATGCACTATATTGAAATACACCCAGATGGCACCCAAAAGACTGCCCCCAGCACGCACAGTTGCTAGTTAAATTTGCACGCGTGTTGCTTTGCGTAAAAAAGATACGACCCAGAACTATTTCTTTCGGAATACGTTCCCGAAACGGGTGTTTGGGCATGCTTCTGGATGCATTATTCTGAAACACTTCTAGAAGGCACCGCAATAGAATGAACCCAGCACCCACATTTGCCTTGAAAAATTTGCATGCGTGCTGTTTTGCGTAAAAAAGGTACGACCCAGAACTATGTTTTTTTAAAACACGTTCCGCAACTTACGACTGGGTTCTTACGCAGCGCAAGTTTGTTTCAGCAGCGTTTATTAAAAGTAAGGAAAATATCTAGTTTTTTTAATCTTATTTTTTGTAGGGTATGACAAATTCGTGTATTTTGTACAAATTCTGAGTTCCTTAAACGGGGTCAGCTACACAATGCTGTTTCCCACCGATTTTCATTACAATTGTTTTTTTATAAAATACACTAAGGAAAATATCGAGTTTTTTTAATCTTATTTTTTGTAGGGTATGACAAATTCGTGTATTTTGTACAAATTCTGAGTTCCTTAGAGTGGAGCCCTATGCAATTTACTATTTGCCCCCCTTTTTTGTATGGGGAAAATCCGAGGTGCCTTCACTGTTAAGCTATTTTCTCAAAAACTGACGGCTTTAGCTCAATGATACTTTCTGACAAGAAACTTGAATTAACGCCCAATAACCAGGTTTACCGTGCATATTGGTACAACCTCTGTGAGGGGAGCAATAAACGAAATTGTGGGGACCCGATTTTTTAAATAGATTTTTAATAAATATCTAGAAGTCGGATGTGTTTGCAAACTATCTAGATCGATAGATATTTTTATCCTAAACAATTTTGCATTTAATATTTTTCGATTCGGCGCCAAAAAGCCGAGAAAAGAAAAAAATAAAAATTGGCCCCATGTTCCAGATTCCACCGTTCCGCCAGAGCCGCTAAGTCACCGACGCTAATTTGACGGACATAAGAACTTTAGTCTTTGGCGGTATTCGTGCAAAAGCGGTGTGGGAACTACAAATTAAAAATGAAAGGAAAACCCCAAAAAAAAGGCTGCAGGATGTCACTTCAGATGGGAAAGGACGCCTAAGCCTGTTTCGTAATATTGTGGGACCTCACCGACAGGAAGCAATACCACAACAGGGCAAGTACGCAGAATAGTTGAAGTGCTGGAGGAGATTTAATAGAATATCGAGTGGGACTTTGCTCCCTATATGGACATCAATTTGGTAACAATATTGTACTCATAAGAGTATATTTTCAGCAGAACCACCAGTAATACGATATCCGACGAGCTTCCATTGGGGAATCACAGGACTCCACCACCACCAGCTTCTTGGAAGATAAAGCTGCAGGACGCTCTGGCTTCTATAGGGTGGAGGAAATAAGGGCCCGCTAAGGTACAGCATTAACAGTCATTGCCAGGATGCTGGGCGACTTCCTGCAGCTTCAGCGGAAAGACCCCGTTTCCAATTCGGGTCCCACTCCCTCAAGGACCATGTTGGCATATATTGCGAATCGGAGCTGTACTGCAAATGGCGCGGAGAAAATGGCGAAGGATCCGTGACAAGGGAAGGAAGCCTTAAACAACTTATTAACATAAATTAAAACCTCCTTTGAACATTCCATTTATTTGTATTTCTTTTAGCACCAGCAGACTCGTCTTTTTAAAATCCTTCAATTTTTCGTTTGTTAATAAAACAAACCCAGCTGCTTGACAGTAAGACCATGCTACATGCATAACGGGTGTACTTTGAATACTGCGGTCACACTACAAGGAATATGATTTTTCGACTAGTGAAACTCTTAGCCGATCTGAGTACTAGGAAATACGAACAATAATTGTCCCCTAACAGAAAATTAAAATTACACTATTCAATTGAAATGAATTTAAAAATAAAGAAAAATGTATGAACTTTAAACTCTATATTTTCATAAGTGAAAATTCATTGGGAATATTTTGAATTTCACAAGTGATTTCACGTGGGACCTGTCACCGGCTAATAACAGGTCATACTACAAATGAGTATAAGGAACAAGTGAAATCCCGAATGACTTCGTCAAATTTTCATTTGAATTTTCGCGGGCATCCCATACAATTGTCTGTATGAAGTGTCACTTGTTCTTCACTCGTGCCAGGTGACATGTCTCGCGGTACTCACACGGTGATTCACAAGTGTAACTTGTTTTTTGTAACTGTAGGGTAAATACAATTTGAACGCTAGCATGTGGATTTTTTTTAGCGCCAAATTATTATTTCATTGCTATTAACAAAGTGATCAAGGGTGAGATTTTCATTCAGGCAAGAGTAGAGAGAATTGAACTATTGTGGGCCCACAGGGACGCCAGGAAAATTTTCACAAGTTAGAACCGCTTAAGAATTTATAACACCTTCTGTTCGTACCCAAAGGTGCTCAACATGACCACACCCAACAAATCAAGCAGAAACGAAATTAGGAACAGTACAAGGCGCTCAGTAGCATTCACTTCAGATGAGAAGTGCTTATCAGCATATTATATGTCCACTAACTCACCGTCTCACCGACTCAACGGCGCACTGACCCGCCAATGCAATCAGCACATGTTGCAGTGTCAGCCGAGCCAACTACACAAACTGCTACCATTATCATAATTCCCTGACCTACTTTAGAATAAGCTTATTTCACTAATCATTACACTAAACTTCCGTGTTCCAAGTAGTATACAAGCATGTATCAAATGAAGAATAAATCAGTTATCAACACACCCATAACTCCGCGGTTCTACTTCCTACATCTGGGAATAGGGCTCGTAATACACTATCTCAACTAGCAGCTAACCACGTTAGGTCACCCTCAGCGCAGCTTCAGCATCGCCTGTGGTCCAGCATCGCAGTAACCATCGTTACCATTGCCGCGACGCGATCGTCCTGCCATCATAGCGTCTCCGTGCCTGCGACAAGTGCTCATTATCCACTTGCCCCGGAAACATTGGTGACCCCGACGTGATCCTTTACCAACAAAGGATCACACTCAAGCAACCCCCTTCCCACCAAAGGCTGAACCTCTGACTGGTGAGAAGACCCGTTAAGTTCACTACATCCACTTTCCCTTGCAACTATAGCTCATCCAGTTTCACAGGATACGCTTCGTCATCCAGCGGCACAGGATCGTCAGCTTAATCCAGCTTTACAGGATACACTTCGTCATCCAGCGTCACAGGATCGTCAGCTTAATCCAGCTTCACAGGATACGCTTCTTCTTCCAGCGACACAGGAACGTCAGCTTCATTCAGCTTCACAAGATACGCTTCTTCTTCCAGCGTCACAGGAATGTCAGCTTAATCCAGCTTCACAGGACTCACAGCTTCATCCAGCTCCACAGGATTCTTTTTTTACTTCATTCATAGAGGAAAGAAGTCACACAAGAATCGATTTACACAATCGATTACTAGACACCCAAAACGAGCTGCAAGGGAAAATCAAACAGCTCATTAAGAATTATGGCAAGGATTCTGCCGACCGCCGCCACCGAGACGGCTATTATTCCGGTAAGCTAAATCAGTTAAACGATCTCTGGCAGCAGTTTTGCGCCCTAGATGAAGAAGTCCAGCAAGCGGCATTACCCACTGTAAGTGCGTACTCTTCACGAGTAGTAGCATTTAAGGAGCTGGTCGAAAAATATCAGAATATCTTTCTGGACAACATGCCGACTGGAAGCGGGCTTCCAAAGGCCCCGAGACGAACTTCGGCCAACATCAAGATCACAAGAAGAGATCAAGTCAAAGCAGATTCCGCAATTGACATGGTGATCCGACAGTTGCAGAAAATATGCAACGAATTGGAGCCATCATTAACATTAGCCTGGAACGCCACAACCGTCACCCCAGCCCTACAAAGGCACCTGGATCTCCAATAGGCGTTACTGAGGCAAGCGCACGACGAATTGGACAGCACACTTGGGGCCGCATCTCTGGCAGAAGCAGAGCTAGCTCAATTTCACACATTATACGAGGAATACGAAATGAACCTGCTTCGAGAAAACGACGCGCCAATGAGCCTAAACTTGGCACTTCCACCAATTAGCATTCCGGAGTTCAACGGCAGTACATGTGGAGGAGCCATTAACAGTCATTGCCAGGATGCTGGGCGACTTCCTGCAGCTCCCTCAAGGCCCATGTTGGACTGCAAATGGCGTGGAGAAAATGACGAAGGATCCGTGACGAGGGAAGGAAGCCTTAAACAACTTATTAATATAAATTAAAACCTCCTTTGAACATTCCATTTATTTGAACTTCTTTTAGAACCAGCAGACTCGTCTTTTTAAAATCCTTCAATTTTTCGTTTGTTAATAAAACAAACCCAGCTGCTTGACAGTAAGACCATGCTACATGCATAACGGGTGAACTTTGAATACTGCGGTCACATTACAAGGAATACGATTATTCGACTAGTGAAACTCTTAGCCGATCTGAGTACTAGGACTTACGAACAAAAATTGTCCTTTAACAAAAAACCAAAATTACACTATTTAATTAAAATGAATTTAAAAATAAATAAAAATGTATGTACTTTAGACTCTATATTTTCATAAGTGAAAACTCATTGGAAATATTCTGAATTTCACAAGTGATTTCAAGTGGGACATGTCACTTGGAGGTGTTTTCGTAAGTGAAAACTCATGGGAAACATTTTGATTTTCACAAGTGATTTTACGTGGGACGTGTCACCGGCTGGTAATAGGCCATACTACAAATGAGTATAAGGAACAAGTGAAATCCCGAATGACTTCAACTAATTTTCATTTGAATTTTCACTTGTGAAAAAGCGGACATCCCATACAATTGTCTGTATAAAGTGTCACTTGTTCTTCACTCGTGCCAGGTGACATGTCCCGCGGTATTCACAAGGTGATTCATATTGAGCTGGCAAATCTTATAACTGAAGCCGCCGTGCGTACGTTCACATGAAGAGTTTATTTGCAACTACAATTATCATACATTGTCGATGCTCCATCTTTGTAAGAGCGGGATGACACTAAAGTACATGCCTGCGTCGCCAGAGTTCCGTAAACGCATTTTATTTTCTACAATTCACAAGTGTAACTTGTTTTTTTGGAACTGAAAGGTAAATACAATTTGAACGCTAGCATGTGGAATTTTTTTAGCGCCAAATAATTATTTCATTGCTA